CAGATTGCCAAGAAAGCATTAAGGAGCCTTGAGGAGTTGCGCAATACTTTACCAACAATACTTAGAAATATTCCCAAACATATTTTAGAGAATTTAATAGACTCAATGCCAAATCGTATAAATGAGTGCTTAAAAATTCATGGTAGAATTACGCGGTATTAGATAAAAATTACCGTTTTTTGTTCTGTGGTTCTTAACTTTTTGACAATTTTTTTAAAATAAAAATTACCTACAAAATTTTAAATACATTTTTTTTATTTGTTTAAAAGTCTAACTGTTATCATTAATTTTTATTTTGTTTGTCTATTTTTTTTATTATTTCTATTTTTATTTCTATTATTTTGTTTGTCTATTATAATTTTTATTTTGTTTGTCTAAAATTTATTATTATTATTTTTTTACCAGAAAATTATATTTGACTAAATAAAAATTTAAAAATAAAAATAAATTATGATTTGTTTTATTGGTGGTTCTTAACTTTTTCACAATACTGTATGTATATATATATATATATATATATATATATATATATATATATATATATATATATATATATATATATAATATATATATATATATATATATATATATATATATATATATATATATATATATATATATATATATATATATATATATATATATATATATATATACACACATATATATACACGTGGCTTAGCAACATTTGACCTGATTTTATGACATAGGCTGACTATATTATGATTTTTTTTAAGGTAATACATTTTTGTTGAAAAATTCTATTCCGTCAACACTCGTAACCCGTGGCTAGATTGATTTTTGCTTTGAGGCTGTTCTAATTTTTTTAATCCCAGCTATTTTCTTAGGTAGTTGTTAATAATGGCAAATATGTAACTATTAGGTTACAAAATCTGATGGTTTAAATATCTCACCAGTTTAATTTCATCGTTTTACATCTCACCATATTTAAATATCTCACCAGTTTAATTTCAACTTTTGGCCTAAAAATGCCCTAATATAACTTTTTTTATACCATATTTTAAAATGAATCAAGTTTTGTAGCTTTAAGGTATATTTTTTAACTATATAACTATGTTTTCACGAAATATATTTTTTATAACCACACAAAATCAATTTATGGAGTGTTTTTATAAGATATTTGACGAGATTATTATTTCTAAAATCAATAAAAGCAAATACTATTCAATTTTAGTTGATAAAGCATCTGATAGTACCAATCTTATACAGTAGTCTATCGTTATAAGGTATATAGACAATAACTATAATACTCGTAAAGATTTCTTAAGGTTTGTTGACTGTCCATAATTATTTAAATGTGCCCTTAGTCGAAAATTACAGGCATGTTTAAATAACTACCTTTCTGTTGGTAAAGCAAAGTTAATCAATGTCCATTGTACTTGTTGGGTTAAAAAAGTCTAGTCATTTTTTTAGCAAAAAACTCTTCATAATTGATGTATGAATTTTCTTTCAAATTTGTAATTTTAGTTTTAACAAAAAATTTGATGGATTAAATTTTTTAAATTATAATTAGACTCCAAGATAAGCAATAAGACATATCTCAAAATTCAGAATCTTTAAATTTACAATTAAAAAATGCGATTCAAGAAATTAAATTTAGTATTAATTTATATCACAACAACTGGTTCAATATTGCTTTTGAATTAGCTATGGCTTTAAATGTAAAAGAAAACAAAAAAACTAGAACATGTGAAAAGCAATTCAATCATAATAACCACTTATCATCGGATTATTTTAAGTTTTCTATCACTTCACCTCTACTGGACCATTTTATAAAGGATCTTATCAATTAATTAAGATTTCATGTTGGTTTATATGGGATGTTTGCAGTTCCAACCGTTTGTTAAGTTACCTAAAAACTAACTAAGATTGGCAAATCTATTTTCAGGAATTTTTGAATATCTATTGTTCCTATCTTTGCATCCAACCTCTATTCAATGCAGAGATGGATTATGGAAGTCTTTGAGAACGACCAATCAAAACCCTCATCTATTATTTTTTAAGTCATGACAATGACTGGTTTCATTCTTAAATATTTTTAAGATTTATTTCTAGGTACAATACCTAGAGATTAGAAACTTATTCAAGAAGTAGAGTGTTAAAAAAAGTTATTAAATGGCCTAGCCTTAATGTCAATTTACACAGAAATGGTTCCAGATAAAGACAGAGTTAACAACATTTTTTCAACTTAAAGAGAGAGATGTTTAAAATTGATATTTAAGCTCTAAATAATTGGCTATGATTGAATAATAATTATTTCTCTTATATTTACAATCATTTTTTTGCTAAAACTTTTTTATAATTTTCTCTTAGAGCATCTTATTTTTTATTTGTTTTAAATGTTTAATAAATAAATTTATTTTCTATTTTGTGTACTTTTCATAGTCTTTGAAATCTAAAATGTTAATGTTTTAAAAAGTGTTCTAAACTAAATAATGTAAAGCACTAAATAAAAAATTTAAATACGTGTGTAAATTTTGTCAGTGTATGCTACAGAGTGCTCAATAATAAAAAAAAAAAAGATGTCATAAATTAGCTTGCCGAGGATTCTATAGATGGTGAGACTGTTTAAATCTTTTTTTTTAATATATAATTATATATAGTAGTATACAATTTTAAAGTAAATTTCTTTTGAATATATCATGATATTATTATATTGTTAATGCAGTAATAGTTGCAGTTATTCTATTAATAACAAAAATATAAAGAAATGGAGGGCTTTTTTTTGTCAACAATAACAATACTTATACATTGATGCATATTAAGAATAGAAAAGAATTTATAAATGGAGAATTAATTTTAGGCAACTTTACAACTTACATATGGAGTGCAAAATCTAAAGCTTACCTTCTAGTTGGTGCACTTCGTTAAGTAATTTAGACATTGTATGTCTAACTTTCATTTAAACATAAGACAAAGAATATTAAAAATATTAGGTTCATATATATTAAAAACTTTCATTTCGAACAATGGAGGCTAAGCATGAGTAAGTAAGCGGTCTTTAAAATATAAAAGACGTATTACATGCTTCTGCTGACAATAAAGAGGTTTAAGTTTACTTTCATTTATACTGCGCCAAGCGACGTGATATTTGACAATAAATAAGCGAGTGATATAATTGTACTAAAGTATATTTAATTAAAACATTTCTTGCTTTGTACAATATTCCTATACTTTTTGAAATTTTACTTGAGTTTAGTTTTTAGTATAATTTTTTTCAAGTAAGATTTTCATCTATACAAACACTTGTCCTAATCTAATAGAGATACGTGACATCTTAACATAAGTACTATTTTAAAATTATGTCATAGACGTAAAAACACAGACTTTGCTGAAGCTTTAGACAAAATACCTATCAGCGTCTTCTTTTAAAACCAAAAGAATATGGCATACACGGTGCACTCCTGGAGTGAATAACAGACTTACATAACAGTTTAAAAAAAAGAAAACAGAGGGTTGTTATAAGCATTAGCAAGTCTTAATGGGTAAATGTTTAGTATAAGGGCCATTTCTGTTTCTGATATATACATACACGCTTTTCCAGAAAACATGGCGCTTCATGTAAAGATCTACGTCGATGACAGTAAAATCTTAGGGGTCTTTAAACAGGAGACGATGCAATAAAACTACAATTATACATAGATCATGCAGTTGAATGCTTTAAGAAATGGCTCATGTTTTTCAACCATGACAAATGTAAGTTGATGCACGCTGGTCACTCAAATAAGTTAATGCGTCTTTACTCAATGCTTGACGCAAAAATTGAATAGAACTTGGAACAGCAAATATTGATTTGACTTAAGTGTCCTTACTTCAAACAACCTAAAAGTTAATCGTCAATAAGAGGCTGCAGTAGCTAGATCAAATCAAGTACTTGACAAACTAAAAAAATCATTTTGTACGAGAGGGATATTGTTATGGAGAATACTCTACTCAACATATATTAAACCTCATCTTAAGTATGCTATCCAAGCCTGGTCTCCTCTTCTAAAAAGTGACATAAAAATACTTGAACGCATTCAACAGCGAGCAACCAAAACAAAATGCGAAATTAAGCATGATAATTATGAGAATAGACTGGCCATACTTAATCTTACCAATCTAGAAGAGCAACAAAAAAGTGGCGACCTGATTCAGCAGTATAAAATTACATATGGAATATTAAAAGTTGTTTTTGTAGTTCCGAAAATATATGCACAATTGCTATTAAAGTATAATCTGCAACTAACATGACAAATTGTGAAAACCTGCAAAGAACCGGACAGTATTTTTACTAATCAAATTGATAATAATTGGAATGGACTATCAGCGAACTCAACTAACATTTTTAAAACTTGATTTGACGCGCTCTCAAAACTAACCAGGACAATATATATTAAATTAGGATAAAAATCAGATAATGCATTTTTTTTCATCATAATCAATAAACAGTATAAATAACAACTATTACATTTAAGAAAATATCATTTTTTGAAAGAATTTTAAAACCACTTTGGACTCTGTTTGCCAATTGGATTCATTTATACAAATGAACTTAATCATTAGATAAGATTAAAAACTTTATTTTTGAGAACATCTTTTTAATTCTAATCCGTCACTGTCGACATACATGTTGCAAAATGTCTAAAATGGCAAATAACAATTTTCAACCTCAACTTGATTTTCACCCTAAACTAGATTTTAAGCTCAATTAAAACATTATGCAACTAGTTTTAGAGCTCTAAAACAAAATAATTTTTTTTTTATTTTCTCTATCAATTGTTGAAGTTATATTTTTCGATAACTCTTGAATTTTTGTTCGTATCACTAACGAACCTCTTTGTACCGTTAACAATAGACTTGTCTTTGTTAATGAAATATAATTCAATTTTAATCTAATTTACCATAAAATAATAAGAGATAAAAAGAACAATAATTATATTAACTTACATAATGCTTTAACTTCAAAAAATTATCTTAACAAAAAAATTAATAAAAAA